AAAATGACCCATCCACCACCACTCTCTGGGTGTGGCCCTCCAGCCAGTTGGCGACCCATTTGACTGTGTAGGTGTCGACACCACAGTCCCCCAGTTTCTTAATGAGAACGGGGTAAGAGACAGTGTCAAAGGACTTCTGTAAGTCCAGAAAGATTATGTCCACTGCTACCCCTGCATCTAAGGATTTGGTGACCTGGTTGTAGAAGGCCACCAGGTTGGTCTGACAGGACCTGCCTCTAATGAACCCGTGTTGGAGTGATGGAGGTATACTCCTCTTTGGTGATAGCCCCTCCTTTCAACTGGGTGTACACCTCCTTTTTGGCTTTCAGGTGTTCCTAAATGCCTTTGGCGAACCAGGGGGGCTTTTGAACACTCTTGCCCCTTTTGATTCTTGTTGGGACTGTCACCCCCTGAGCTTGGAAGATCATGTCCTTAAGGAACCACCACTCATCTTGGGCACCCAGTTCCCCTATCCTCCAGGACCCCAGTGCCCCTCCTACCAATCTCCTCAACTCATTGAAGTTGGCCCTCTTGAAGTCAAGGTCTACTACCTTGCTGCAGGCCCTTGACACCCTGTGCTGGATGGTGAATTCCAGTAGACAACAGGGTAGAGCAAAAAAAAAAAAACACAGGCTTGCCAAACAGAAAACAAACAAGGCAGATGAAACAGATCAGGAGGAATTTCATTAGTCCAATTTTTATTCAAATTTAAGTATTGAAAACTAGAAAGAGATTTTTCTTGTGAAAGAATTACATGCGTTTCAATTGAGACCATTACTAAAGCTGTTTGTTGAATGGACTGAAATCCATAAAGTAAATTACTTCATAAGATACTTGGTCCTTCACACCCATGCAAAAACAAAAAATAACAAAAACAAAATAAGCACCATGGGTTTAAAGAGTCAACCAACTGATTGCAATATTGTTACACATCACATTTAACAAGTCCGTTTTAGAAAAATTCTTCCAATCTTCCATAATTCCTAGAGCACTGTATACATAAATATACAAATTAATGTGCTCCACATTTCTTTATGGTCATTCTAAAGGAAAATAAAATAATTTATAATCCCATAAGCAAAAGGTAGGGGCAGGAAAGATTAATGAATGCACTTTGCTCATTTCCAAATATACAATATTCCCAGACAATATATTTTTGAGTAATAGCATTTCCTAACAGATGTAAGTCAAGTCTGTCCCACTTTGTCTCTTGCTGTTGCATCAAGGGAGTAACTGTCACGACTAGGGGTCTACCCAAGTCACAGGGGGACTTACCAATGTTCATGGGTTGATCACAGTGTAAAGATCACAGCAGCCCTGCTCCTTGGCAGTGATAGGCCCCAGGAAGATAGCGAGGGGGCGGCCACCATCTCGATTGCTGGATGCCCCTCAGTGCCGATTGGTGGAGAGGCCCCAGGGGAGGAAGATGGATGAGGGGCAGCAGCCATCTTGTAGGCTTCCCTTCATGCCACCCCACCAGCCACTGCTTTCCCCTCCTAGCAGCGAGGACCTCCAACATCATTGGGGAGCCAATATTTAATTTTTATTGCCGGGGGGTGGGGTTGATTTGGTGGACAATCCTGGATTTCACAATCTGCAAAATCCATGAAACTGTAACTTAAGTAGGTCCCTAGTCATGACATTACACAATTTTCAATATGAATCCCCCCCCAAGCTTAATGAGATGCATTAAGACATTAAGCTATTGTTACTGTTTAATGAGCAGACATTGCACGTAGCTGAATGTTAAAAATCTTGGTCTCACAATAATGCAAACAAAAGACCTAAACTCACCTTTCATGGTGCTTTCAAGTAATGTTGCCCCAAGTGTCTTCACGGTGATTACAAAACTCTATAAAATCTACAGAGAAAAAGTATCCACATAACCTAAAATAAACTGGATTTATCTATTAGGTGTGAATGGAAAAATACAGACCTGATACAAACTTCCTTAAAGAAGACCCACTGAGACAACACATCTTCCATGTTGAAAGTGACTCTAATTTGCTCATTAATGTTGTAAGCATATCATTGCATAACCATTTTTACAAACACAGCTGCGTTGTTCTCTCAACATACTTCATTCACAGAAGGGGACCTCTCTCTCTCAATGGACCACACAAGCTGCCTTAGGGGCTCCATCCTGCAAAGTTTTGGTGCACAGAAATCCCAAAAAGTTCTCCCAAATATGCAAGTTACATGATTGGGCCCTTCAATTATTAGGCATTTAAGAGGAGAATTGTGGAAATTCTGGCCCAACACTGGGCTTGTAAGAGGGACAAGAAATAGTCTACAGAACTTAACTTCAGTTACTAGATATGCTTTCAATATTGTTGACCGTGGGCTTTATACCATTCCCTTATAATGCACTGCAGCATTCTGCTCAGATGCAAGACAGACCGAAAACGAGACTGACGACAAACAGCCTGGCTTGATGCCGAAACTAAGTAAAAAGCAAAGAATAAAGGAAGAGCAAAAAATCAAGAAAATATAAATTAGAAGTTTAAAAATATCCACTATTCTAAGATGCCAAATCATTTTAAATTCATGATGTTGAACCCAAACATGGGTCTTTAATATGTTAGAATTAACACAAGAGCAAAGAGAATATCCCACCTTAATTACAACATTACAATTTCTCGTGCAGAAAATGTACAAATTCACACGCACAGCACAGCCGGTGAAAACGGCCAATGGAACGTCATAATCGGAGATGGATCTTAAGAGAAATGTCCTCAAGAACAATAAAAAGCAATTCAAAGAGTCTTTAAAATTATTTTATAAAAATATTTACACTAAAATTTGTTAGCTCTAAAGATACATTTTCAGTCCTAGAAAAAGGCAATCTTTAAAGGATCTGGCTCAGGTGCTCAGAATTAATTATACAAACAATAGACCACACAACAAAAGGAAAACAAATCCAAAAGCATTGGATGGGGAAAGTACAGCTGGTTTGCCCTGTGTTACAGTTGTTAATATTGCATAGCTGAAAAATGAGGTCACTTGACTTGCATAACACTGCAACTTCCGAGAAGGAAAGAAATGTGCTGTTTACTATCAATAAGGAAAGGCTTTGCCCCAGACCAGCTGTACTGGTCCCAGCCATGTCCAGGAAGTGCACCAGTCCACCGGTTTCCTTTTAGGCCACATGTGTGTGTAAATATCAGTTTACAATAACAGGAAGACACCAAACCCCTCATTCTCTTTTGCCTCTCCTGTGTTATAAACCCACTGTCACTAATCAAAATGCACTGGCTGTTTTGGTGCTGGGAGCAGACAGATGATAACTTATTACAGCTTATACTGATCTGGTCAGACTCTCCAAAACAGAGCATGATGGTTGGCTAATAGCTTTTCTGAGATGAAACACAGATGGTTCAAGTGCTTTTGTAAGCACCCACACAACAGGATCTCACTTATGCCATAGATAAAAACACCCTAGGACCTGCTCCACAGCATGATAAGGCCAATGGAAAGATTCCCCATCAGCTTCAGTGCTTTTTGGATAAAGCTCGTAGTGGGTAAGTTAGCAGGCCAAAGCACAGTAGTAGAGAAACAGCCAGTAGAACCAATATTGGTATTATTTTCAGTGCTCTTTCAGCCTGCAGGGCTGAACTTTCCCAGTTCACTTCCAGGACCCTGGATCCAGTCCACAGCAGCAGCTCAGCTGCTGCTATCGGTCCTGTCATTCTAGCGGACAGTTCACTCTGAGGCTAAAAGGCAAAGAAAAGCAGATGCTATTTAACATTCCACAGAGGGGCTCAGAGTCTCCCTGTGAAGTAGCAAAGGTATGTGCTGTTCCCCCCCTCCCAAAAATCAAAAGGACTTGGCCACATGTAACCACGTTGCAAGAACGCTGCAACGTGAATTTAAACTCAGCCTGTTTAAAAAAAAAAAAAAAAAAAAAAACACTTCCCACTGAATCCCCATCTCACTAACAGCCCGAGCTGGCATATTTTTATCATCCTTTTCAAAGAAGGTTTCAAAGGGTTTTTCCATTCCCTTGTTGATGTTTAAGAGCATTTTCAGCCACACAAATATTAAGAGCTCATCTACATGGGGAAAATGACTGACAGAATCATAACCATGCTGCCATGACTGGAAAGTGACAGTCTACATAAGTCAAGTATCCAGGTTGTAGCTGTATCAGTCTAATAAAAGATATCACCTCTACCACGAGTTCTGATTCCATGGTCTACACAAGACATTCTCATTCAGCCAGTCAGTTTTTCTCAGTGTTAACGAGCCCTGACCGATTCCAGAAAGGAAACCTGGTGACACTGCCTCTGCCTGAAGTCCTGTAAAACACACAAAGTTAAACAAATTTGAAAAACAGAGGATGGATTTCTGTGCTACCTTCTCTTAGCTAAATTCTCGTTTAGTGTTACTTTTAACTCCAGTAAATACAGAGGGGGTGCATCAAGATTACCAGGAACGAGCACCAGGACTCTCAGAAATGCAATTTTCAAGTCGATTATTCTATAAACAGAAAGCAGGCATGAAGGATTCTGGGTACAGACAAGTAACACACAGGTCCACATTTCACTTTATTAAATAACCTCTTACTCATTGTGAGAGTGATCTTATTAGATCCCATCAACTATTTTGTATGGGTGGAAGAACACATTTAAAAACAAGGAAGATTTAAAATAAGAACAAAGATAACAAAGAATAAGATCTCCACATTCTGGAACCATTAAGACAACGTAGGCATTTTATCTTGGTTATTAATCACTTCTTGAGTGGCAGAGGGCATGGGGCTGAATACCGGCAAGACACATCAATGGCTCATTAAGAAATACACTTTCAACTTCTCTTATGAAATGGCATTGAAATGCTGGACGCAGCTAGAACTGGGGCTTTCTGCACAGCCACCAATATGCACGAAATATATGGGGACAGATTTCTTCTGTTATTTTCAATTCATACCATATTTCAGGGAAGTAATTAACCCTCCAGAGCCATAGGTTTCTGTGGGGTTTGCCTTGGGTGACTGAAGTATGGCACCTTCACCCCTGAGAAGGGCACTGTCCTGCATGCCCTATTATATTTATTAACTGGCATTCACAACTGGCAAGTCTGTGACTAATGTAGGTATCACATGCCACGTGCCCCAATCATATCATAGATCTTCTGGGATGCACACAGTAGTCCAGTGGCACATAGGTACGCATGACTGAGACGCACAAGCAAAAGCACCCCAGTTCCAGTACTGTTCTGCTGACTGCTGTTGAGGACTGGCGATGAGAAGATTTCACTGTCAGTAGTATGTTCACCCTGGAGGTGCAGTGAGTAAACAGATCAATGGATCAGCTATATAACGTATCAGTAGTTAAGAAATCCAGTATCTTCATTTTTACTCACGTGCCCTAAACTAGCATTTTGTTTCACACAAGAAATTCATTTTCTCCAATATCAGTTTAAGCACAAGGTTTATCTCAGGATTCTGGCTGTTCAGGAAATAGTCGATTGCACCAATGATAATAAGCAGTATTGTGTGTCTAGCATGAATCATGTTCTCAGCCAGATTTTCACATGGCTATGCTATCCACTGCAGAGCAGCTGATGTTCTTAATGTAGTCCTTGTGAGGCTAGGAGCTGAATAGCAACAAGGTGGGTCAAGTCAGGTGTCCGTCGTTTTCCCAGGAACACGCAGCAGACTTCACTCCACTTCTGCTCCTTGAGTCTGTGTCACAATGGTTTATGAATCACAGCCACACCTGTTGCAAGAGTGGACAAAGAGACATTAAACTATCTTGGGAGCAACTTCTGCAAAACCAAAGTGCAAAAGCAGGAGTACAGAAAGAAAGTCAGCTTGCACAATCCTGTGAAGATTTCCTCTTCAATGGAATCCATTAAAAAAAAAAGAGAGAGAGAGAGACCAAGCAGTCAGGGAGCAAAACTGTCTTGTTAATGGATGCTCCCTGAGTTAGTAGTGGCTGCTGTGAACATATCTGGGAGCCAGAAGGCCCCGAGTTCCCAGTTCTTCCACTGGTCTGTTTACCTGCATAACTTCTTCCAGTGCTCATATTGGTTGGCAATAATGTCCACTTATCAGTGACAGGGTTATAATATTCCACTGAGGCCAAATTGCAAGAACCATCATCTCCTCCAACCACATAGAGAAGCCCATTCACTGCACACACACCTAGAAACAGAAGAGACACTCAATTGAACTCTACACAATTTACCATACACAGACCTAGTTCTTTTGCATTACAAGTACCTACGCATCAAGTCTTTCATGTTAATTATTCTCAGGCAGGACCGTGCCCTAATGATCAAGAAAAAAATTAAGGTACAGACAGAATACTCAGTGGTTACCTGCGTTTCGCCTACACATATTCATATCAGCCACTTGCTTCCAGGTGTTTGCTCCTGGATCATAAACCTCCACACTCTTCCTCACCAAGGGACCGTCATGCCCTCCAGTAGCATATAACAATCCACTAAGAACGCCAACACCTGCCAAACAGACACGTGGCACAGATACAGCATTAATGGGACTTATATTTTTAGGCCTACCCAATGCTCTAGGCCAAGCATGACCACATACTGATTAAGAGGCGGTCAGCCTCATGGACAAAACCCTTTCTGCAACTCTTACTGTAATTTACACCAGCACAATGGAGAGCAAGTTCTGATGCTACACTAACCATCTTAAGGGAAACTCTGATAAATGGGCACAATTTTAATTAATGACATAACCTGCCCCACGTAAAAATATCTCAATGGGATTGTCAAGTTTTTCAAACCTGCTTTTCCCCACTGTCAAAAAGAGCCAAATGTTTAAGTAGTAGTTTAAAAAAATTACAGGAGGAGAGTTAAAAAAAAGACGTGGAAATGCTAAAGAGCCCTTCTCCCTTCTCTAAAACTGTCTGTGATCACCCTTGTCTAGCAATGCAAGATACCTCAAGTGCAAAGACAGGACCTTCCAGGGAATGGAACTGTTGACCCTGCACACAGAATAGATCAGCTGCCAGCCTGCATCTTTATTTTAGGGCTCAGAGCTAGAACCAAAGCTCTCCATAACACACAGGAGCGCTTGTGTTTTACCTACACAAGATGGCAGCATTGAGCCAAGAATGCTGGAAGTACTGAACATCATCTTCGATGCATGGAGTTCAATGTTGTATTGATAGTTATACTTTCACTTTCTATAATTAGCAAATTCCACTAATGAGAGAATTTCATTTTCTATTTCAATCACTGCTAGGTCCTGCCTCACTGCACACCCAGCTGAGAAACACTTGCAGACAACTGAGGGCATGTTCAAGTATCAGACTGCACTCCTTCCTCTGTACTCCATATCAGAAGCACTTGGAAAGTAAAACTCACGCCAAAGTCTGTTTTACTGGATAAACTTCCTTGAAAGCAGAAACTCGTAGCCAGAACTGCTAAACACAGGGACCATTTCACTGCATTGTAGCTTGAGGCCAACAATAAGGGAAGTTTATTCCATTTGCCCAGAACACTGGATGGGATAGGCTGAAGTATCATACACAAAATACCATGTCTTACTTTGTATTAGTATCTCATTTAGTAATAAAGGAACACCCCACAGGAAGGGGTTAGTTTGGGGGCCTTGTGAATTTAGAGGATTAAGAGGAGGGTGGACACAACACCTGCTCACATAGTTTCACTACAACGAGGTAGTGCATGCCTCGTACCAGTATGCCAATGAACTTGTACCTTTCATCCAAATTCTTTTACAACATGCCTAAGCTTTATTACCCAGCTTTCCAGAAGAGGAATCAGGCACAGAGGATGGATGACTTGCCTACAGCTCAACAGCAGATTAGGAGTAATCAAGGATGACATGCAAGCTTTCCATCCCATTTTACACAAACCTCCAGCTTATAAGCCTCCACTCTGGCCATTAAAAAACATGTGAGCTGAGTCTAAATAGAAGTTGCCTGAACTCAGTTTTAGGTCATTTAGATTTCTTAACATCGCTATTCAAACCAGATGTGAACTTTACTTTGTGAGGGCTGGGGTTAAGGAAATCATAAGAACTGTTGGCAGCTTCCATGCCTTGATGATCTCAACTGAGAGGACAAGAAGTTGGAATAAAAATCTTCAATTCTCAATTCCATCGCCCCAAGAGGTCACTTCCAAATGCTTCAGAGCATCAAGAAAAGCTTCATTTAAATGTGTCATTACCTGCACCACTGCGCCGCGTGCTCATGTCAGCCACGTAGGTCCAGTCATTTGTGGCAGGATTATACTGCTCTACAGTACTAAGGCACTGCCGTGATGCTCCATCATAACCCCCGACAGCATATAGCTTCCCTGGAAGAAACAGCACAGGATGCAGCTGTATCAATTACTTCCATCACCATTGTGTCCAAAGGTCCCAACCAAGACTGAGACCCCCCACAATAGGTACATTACAGACATACCAAATAGCTGTGCATTGCTTTGGGGGTAAAGGGAAATCTTCATAAGCCATCTAGAACTGATATACAACCCAAGCACACACCTGACAGGCAAACTCCTTCCATAAATGTATTTCTTCATAATGGATTAACCGTGTTACACATTCAACTGAGGTCTGACCCACTTTTGTAACTGCCAATAGCTATTCAAATCTGTCCTGGATTACAGCCAGCCTCAAATGGTGTCACTCAAGCAACAGGCTACTTAACTCCCATTCTCACTGAGGCACTAAGCCTTGCAACAGACCCAGATGCAAAGTTTGTCCTCCCATCAATACAGACCACAGACAGGAGTTGGTCTTGGGACTGGTTTTGTTCAATATCTTCACCAAAGACCTGGAAGATGGGATGGAGTGAACCCTCAGCAAGTTTGCAGGTGACACCAAGCTGGGGGGAGTAGTAAATGCACTGGAGAGTCAGGCTAGGATTCATAGAAACTTTGACAAATTAGAGGATTAGACTAAAAGAAATCTCATGAGGTTCGATAAGGACAAGTATAAAGTCCTGCACTTAGGATGGAACAATCCCATGCACCGGTACAGGCTGGGGACTGACAGGTTAAGCAGTAACTCTGCAGAAAAGGACCTGGAGAGGTCACAGTGGACAATAAGCTGAATACGAGCCAACAGTGTGCCCTTGTGGCGAAGAAGGAGAACAGCATATCGATCTGCATTAGTAGGAGTGTTGCCAGAGGAAAAGTGATTATTCCCCTCAACTCTGCACTGATGAGGCCATATCCGGAGTACTGTGCCCCAGAGGTCCCTCTAAGCTGTGCAGTGTGCACGGCCACGCAGGCACACCTGGCAGCACAGCAGGAGCATGCTTGCACGGCCGCACAACCTGCATAGCTTAGAGGGAACGCTGCTGTGTTCTGGGCCCCCCCACTGCAGAAAGGATGTGGACAAATTGGAGAGAGTCCAGTGGAGAGCAACAAAAATAGTTAGGGAGCTGGGACATATGAGTTCTGGGCTTATTTAGTCTGGAGAAGAGAAGCCTGAGGGGTATTTAATGGTAGCCTTCAGCTACCTGAAGGGTAATTCCAAAGGGGATGGAGCTGGACCGTTCTCAGTGGGGGCAAATGACAAAACAGGGAGCAATGGGCTCAGGTTGCAGCAAAGAAAGTTTAGGTTAGATATTAGGAAGAACTTTCTAACCACAAGAGCAGTAAAGCAGTGGAACAGGTTATCTAGCAAGGTGGTGGAATCTCCATCCTTGGAGGTTTTTAAGACCTGGATAGGCAAAGCCTTGGCTGGGATGATCTAGTTGGGGATGGTCCTGCTTTGAGCAGGAGGAGGGACTAGATGCGACCTCCTGAGGTTCCTTCCAACCTTAATCTTCTATGATTTTTATGATCACTGGACCGAATATCACAAATTAAAAAATCCATGGCTCATTCACCTGCACCTCTACCAACATCAGATGCACCATCACCAGCTTACAGTGCCCCTCTGCTGTCTACACTGGACAGTCAGTGACCCCTATGTGAAAGAAGGAACGAACACCAATCTGACATCTGTTCTAGAAAGAGGCACAGGCCTGAGGCAGAACACTTTCACCTCCCTGGACGCTCCCTCGCTGACCTCAGAGTAGCCACTCTCAGAACACAGAACTTTACAAGCAAAGTTGAACATAATGCAAAACTGTGGAAGAAGAAAGCACTCAGAGACTGGACTGTGCCAAGTATGCTCTAAACAGAGGCTACAGATCATAATCCATTACCTAGATTAGCTTTTGTAACTCCTTTGTCCCTCTGGGTTTACTACTTGTTTACCTGTTCCAGCATTGTTCCAGCTCCCTGCTCTCCCTCCCCCCCACCCTCTCTTCCCTGTCTTTTGTATTCAAATGACTCTCTCTTGGGCATGCCCTTTTGCATCTGATGAAGCTCCTGCATCTTGCATCTGATGAAGTGAGCTTGAGTTTATGCTTATGCTATGCACCTCTGATCCAGTTAGTCTATAAAGTGTAAATCTACTCTGCCTTTTATCCATAATTCACAAGCACGTTATTAAGGCACTGCTTGTTAAAGCAATTCCACAGAGATGCATATTTTAGCAGCTCCCCACCACTTACTGAGGAACTCCAAATTTCATGTCCCTCCTACTCCCTTCCATCCCTGCATGTAGATCAAACCAACTTATATTCAACCTTAGGAACTGGAATTTATAACATACTGCAGCTAACTCCACCAACTAGTGCACAAGGGAAACTACTATCACTGCCGCAATTAGGGCTGCATTAAAATATTTCCACTTAGATCATAAGCGATTAGGCAAACCACAAAATGGAAAGAAATTCATGTTCTAAAATGGCTGTTCCCTGGATCCTCAGCAACGTTGAACAAAGTCAACCCACTGACATTGGGCACTGGATCTCAGGAGCTTCATATTTACATGTTTCTATCAATGGTTGTTCTGTTTACTGGATCTGCCCCTTCTATTCCCTTTGCCTACACCATCCCTGAGTTGACACTGTACTGAAATTTGCTACCATCAGTTCCCTGTTTGCTGACAAAATAGGATGGGCACACACCATGTTCACATATAAATCTGATGTCAACCACCTTAGGATCACATGGGCAAACTGCTCGTGAATTGTCCTCTCAGAGGGATTACAAACTTAATTGTTCCCAGTCTCAGTCTGAAGGAATAAGTTTTACCTTCCTCCATCTGCCATGTTCTCTCACAACACTTATTGCTGATCACCACCCACATACATCATTCTTGCACTGGGCAGAGCTATGTTATCACGAACAGCCCCTGCCTCTTGGTATTCAGGAGAGAGTCAGGTACTAGGCCCAGGGTCAATATGAGGATCTTGTGTCACACACAACAGCTGGCAGCACCGACAGCACTCCAACCCAAGAGAAGCACATTGAAAAGCTGCAATGACGCAGTGATGTTAGAAATCTTTGCATGCTAACCCCTCGCAGTGCAGTGATGGGCCTGGTTTGTCCCTGCATTCAACTAGCTATGTGTTAGTCTGTAGACTGCCTTGGAGAAGAGCTTTGCCTGCCTCACTGAAGGCCCGTCTGCGATTATCCATGTGTTTGAAGCAGTAACAGCCTCGTGGCCAAAACAGTCAGGTCTTACCCTCCACAACTCCCACTCCAACGCTGCTTCTCCTTGTGTTCATGGGAGCCACAAAAAACCACTCATTGGTTTTATAGCTATAGGCCTCTACAGATGCCAGACCTAGAGAAAACAGGAATGCAGAAGTTTCCTAATTAAAAAAAGATTAGCATTACACCTTTTCTCTCCTTTTTCCCCTATGAGCTGGACTAAAATCTCCCGAGGTTCTCAATTTCCTCTGCAAAAACCACGTGGCACAATTATATAGCTCTTTTCCCTCCAGGCAAGAAAATGCAAAGTTAAGAGCAGAGGAGTCCAAAGGAGCAGGAATCTCTGGACCCATGAATTTTCTGTTCTGCAGTGGCACAGCTTCAACAGCAAAAATGGAAAGTGCTCCCAGGCCAGCCTGACCCAGCTTGGCAGTAACAGCACTCTCCAGGGTGGTGATGGACCTCCTTGGTGGAAAAGGATCTTCAACCCAAGTCTTCCCCTTCCTGGCCAAGTGCTATTACACAAGAGACCAGTACCATCACTGCCACCACCACCTCCTCCTGTTCCAGGTGTGCTTACAAATACAAAAGCATAAGGCAGTCATATGGAAACAAAGGGATGACGTGCACATCTAACTCCAAGACTGAGGCTCAGCCTTGAATCCCAGTCTCACAGCAGTGCCTAACTCAGGGCTGCAGCTAAACTCCTAAATCCAAGAGAGACATGAGATTTCAGACACACCTCTCTCTAGTATTCACTATTGCTGACTTAGGTGTCCCTTGACTCTTGCTTTTGTGGCCCAGATCCCATGCACTCAACTTTCCCCATCCACTGAATGGCCACCCAAATTGGGTTTGTGGATTCCACTCCTGTACCCAGAGAACCTTATCTACTACTGTACCCAGGCACTTAAGGCTTCGTGAGGCAACCCTGAGTACCCTGAGTCCTTTTATGGATGCAGATGTTTGGGAACAGAGAAACAGTGCAATATCCCTTCACTGGATTGCCTGGCTTTTCCTAAGTAACATACCAGTACTTCCATCAAACCCGCCCACGGCATAAAGAAGGTCATTCAGCACAGCTGCTCCCAAAGTGCTTCGTCTTTCCTGCATGCTGGCGATGGATGTCCACTGGTCTTTCACACCATCATACACGTCCACAGTTCGCACTCTTAAAGAACCATTAAAGCCCCCAACAGCATAAACATTGCCTGCCATGAACACCACTCCTGTTAGAAAGAGAAGGCAGACTTCAGATCTGAGATTTAACTGGTGGCTTGGAAAAAAAAGACATTACTAGATCCCTTGCTTAGCATTTGTAACAGCAAAGGGTGAAGAGAATATGTTCAAACTTTTAGCAATTTTTTACTGGGAATAAAGGCAGAACATAGGTTTTGTAGAGGATAACAAAGCACATAACACTCAGAATGTTAACTTTCAGGATACTTGCTAATTCCCAGGGAGATGGGGGCCTTGAAGAGGAGGGCATGAGTAGATTCACAGTACAACCTAAGCCAAATTTTTCAGAAGGAACAATGAGTTGCAAGCCATCCACCTTGCTCCTCCTGGGATAAATCCCTTCATCAAACTGCAGTCTTAAAGGTAGTTTCTCACTGGAAAACCAGCAGGGAAAGCCAGGTCATAGCTGGATGGCCAAACCAAGCTGGATGGGGGAAAGGTAGAGAAGGAAGCAGGAAGAGGAGATGAGGCACAGAGGTGGGGATAGTAGCTGTATATGGCAAGTGGAGACCAAGGTGGTATTGCATGGGATATTCTTCTGCATCTTAGTGGAAGGAAAGGGAAAAAGGCAGAGCTGCCTGTGGACAAAGTCATAAAAGGCAAATGTACTCCTGTGGCTCTTCATGGATGTAGCGGGAAAGCACGAGAGGCTACTGCAAGAGCTCTGGTTACCTGCCCTGCATCTCCGGGAGGGAAGCTCAGCTACCTGATCCCATCGCTCCTCTTCGAAATCGTAGCACTCCACGCTCCGAATGGCTTTGGGCGCCTGCCCACCAACCACGATCATCACCTAGGAGGGAAATAACCACAGCAAGAAAAGCCTCTGAGATCAGAGCACTGTTTCACAGCAAGGTGCATTCTGCAAAAAGAAAAACTACTCCCAATGGCTCAGCAAGGGATACATAGCTGTCTATGGGATGTGAGGGCAGAAAAAGGGAGAGAAGACTTTTCAAGTCACAAATGGAAATTGGTACCCAGCAGACACTGCTCCTCTGGGGAGGGCTTCCAGAGGGCCCGATCTGGCAGGAATGCACTTCCTGGACCGAAACAGCTTATTGCATCACGTTCATATCCTACAAACAAAGCCAACTCTTGGGCTGCTGTTCAGCTTAATATATTCTAGGTGGTCAGCAAGCAGCTCTTCCACTTACTTTAGGATGCTCCTACCTTGGCGATTTGACTGACACCCCAGGGGTTCAGCTGGGATTCTACCACACTAAGGACAGTCCAGTGTTTTCTGGATTCTCCTATGCTTTTCCTTCACCAGTTGTTTCTCGATCTTCTAACCAGTTGGGATGGATCCACCCTCTACAGCCACGCTTACTAGCACTGCTCATCACCCACCAACCACTCTTGTTCAGCACAGGAGATGGCTTCAAAATGACACTTAAGGAAGGAGAGGAAAGGAAGCAGTTTTTCTCAATTAACTGAGAAATCTCCGCTGCAGGGGATTTTCTCCATCCCTGCTGCAGGGGATGGATCTAGGCCTGGATTCATCTCCTGCAGCAGGGACCATTCTGCTAGGCTCTCCTCACTAAAACCGAGGAGCTGAAGGAAGACTCCCCCAAAATAAAGCATATAAAAATAATGGAAATTACTGGCTTTCAAGCAAGGACTAATCTGACGCACTCTCTTGGATGCACCTCTTGCACAGAAGCTCATCTGAGAGCAAGCCATTAAAATGATTTTTCTAAACTTATTCTCTATTTTTAACCTAAACCTAGACCTAGACCAAAACCAAGACCAAGCTGCTTAGCTCAGCAGCCTTTTGGGATACGCACCTTCCCATACACCTTTAAAATGCAGCATTAGCATCCTTCCATCTGACTACAGTGCACTGGTACTTGTCTTCAGAGGCTCAAAGCAGTCCTAACAGTCACACTTGCTATTTGTTTCTCATTTTCACAGGTATGCTAAAATAATTACTGCTGCTAAGCATTCCAACTGGGGCACCACCTGCACTGGAGACTACACAGAAATCACTGGGACCATTTAAAGGCATGGCATACTAGTTTGGGGATGGACTGCTTAGGGAACATCACACGGAGGGTATCAACTTCTCGGAGATCAAATGTGTACACAGGGTCAAAAAGATAAGCTCCCCATGGTTCATATCTGGAAGAAAATTAATCTACTTTGAGAATTTACAGTCTACAAAAGCCTCATTAATAACTTTGCTGACAGCCTGCTGTCCAACGTCATGTTAAGCAGCCTTTATATTTTGAGAGAAGGGAAGCATTTTTCTTTGTCATCTTTCTCTGGCTGAAGGAGAGACCAGAGCTGTGCACAGCTCCCATGTCAGCATGGAGAATCGCCAACGTTTTTTTATTTCTGCTGCATCTACTTTGAGCAGCTGCTTAGAGTCCATTAAAATTAATTTCAGATGGGGGAGTTGTGTACGTTTGTGCCACTTGGGGGTTTTCCCTGCTTCATTTGGTGCCATCCAGGCCCCTTGCTACGCAAATGAAACTAGGAGAGGTAAACAATGCAGCCTGCCTCAGTTGACAGGGTCCTCAGCCAACATGGAGTCCTAAGCCGCGGTTTGAAATCCCACCGGCAGTTGGGGAGCA